GCCTCCAGGCTCTTCCAGTGGACAGGGCCAGGGAAGAACTCTCGACTTGGAGTTCGTTTTGATATCTGCAATTTAAATTTGAGATCCTGGTGTCTACCCTGGTCTCTTCCATTTCATACTGGACTCTCTCCTCTCTGTGGAAACCTTGGCTCCTAATAACATCCGTGTATCTCAGCCCACTGCATGGTTTCAGAGTCCCTGTGCCCGCCCCACCACCTCCAAGCCTGCCGAGGAAGTTCAGGATTCTCTTGCAGGTCGTCTTGTCCTTCAGGGGGACCAAAGGTGTACCGTTGGAATGCTGTGATCTTTAGCTACTTGAACAGATTCTTTTCTACGTGGGTGTGACTGTGTTTCCATAAGGCTTCATTTACCAAAACTGGTGCAGGCTGGATGTAGCCTAAGGGGCACTGTTTGTAGACAGCTGCTCTAGTACATAATCCTAACAGCATGGTTTCTGGTGCAGGGTGAGCACCCCCTGCCTGCCCCAATACATAGCTGTACCTGGATCATGGAAGCCGAGGGGGCAGGAAACACTGGACCTTCCTGGTGGCTGGTGGGCAGGTGGCCTTTTTCAGGGATGACGGGGTTAGAGGCCTCTTGGAGAGTAGGACGGCCCCCCACCCCACCAACCCCATACTTCTGGGCCTCCCAGACTAGCCAAGGGTGAGAGGACAGGTCTGGAGGTGCATGGCCTGGGATTGGGGTGCTAGGTGAGCAGGGTTTCACTCTTTCCTGGTTGGGAGGAGAGCGGAGTTGGACGAGCTGACAGCCTCCCCTAGCAATAAATTCTGAGCGCTCTCAGTGTACATGGATACCTTGTATTTGGAAAATGAAATGAACTGTGTGGCCTGCCAGCAGCAAGCCCAGTGGACAGTGAGAGCTTCCCCCCTGCTCTCACCCGGGTACCAGGCTCAGTCCCTCTGCCCACTCTGAGACCTGTGATGCGGCATGTCTCTCTGGCTCCACCTACTCCCTACCCTGTGGGCTCAGGAGGCTCAGGCAGGACTCCAGGCTCCAGGCTCAGGCAGGGCTCCAGGCTCCTCGAGGGGACCCAGGAGCCCAGAGGTAACAGACTTGCTGGGCTGGGGCTGGTGCTGGAGATGCTGTGCCATTCTTCCTATTCAATCCTGCCCTTTCCCCCTCCTGCCTCACCCCTTTGGGCTCGGCAGGTTTGCACAAGCCTTCTGCAAAGCCCTCCAGGCCTGGAGACAGACTTGTTACTGGAGAAATGAGCCTGGATTTCCACCACCGACTTCTCTTTTAATTAGATTCTGACAGCAGCACACAGGGCTGGCTGGCTGCAGATTCAGATGCAGCTTTCTTGGTCCCAGCCTCTGGGTTTCAGCGTGCTTGGCTTTTTCGGAGGCAGGAAATGCTCCTGACCTTTTCTCGGGAGTCAGGTGGGAGGCTGGCTGCATGCGTGTGAGCATGCAGATACCTTAGTGTGTGCATGCCTGTGCATCCATGAGCAAGGAGCTGCGTGCTTTGTTTTGGAAAAGCCTGCAGGCAAAAGCATGTTGGGTCTCACTGACTGTCCTGCTGGCCCAGCCATTCGCTCCACTGCTCACCAACAGCAGGAGCCGAAGGGGCCCCCTTGGCCTCACTGTCCTCATCTGATTGGGGACAATGCTGCCTCAGCTGGCTTTTCCCAGCAAGGCTTTGCGGGAGGTTTCCTCCCTCCTGGATTCTTCATGCAGGCTGGTTTGGCAAAACAAAACTATTCCTCGTGTTTCCTTGAAGAAGCATACATCTCAGGAAGAGAGAACCTAAAGGCAGGACCGCCCGGGCTGTGGGCGGCAGATATGGGTGGAAGGCTAGAGAGATGGGGACATGGTCTCTCCCCCACACTGCATGGACTGTTACACCTGACCTCGTGCAGGCTGTGAGGAGGCGTGGCCTCGTCCCAAAATCAGAGGCTCTGAGCCTCCTGCACCTGCGCCTTCTCTGAGGAGGGAGTGGGTAGCTAAGAAAAGAGACCCCCTGTTACCTCCAGAGCCCTTAGCTTGAGCCCCTAGTCTGAAAGGAGAGACAGTTCCCTTCCTCTGAGCATACCCAGCCTGATACAAGATTCTGTCCTTGCTCCTGGGGAGGCCCCCACCCAATGGAGACACCATGCCCCTTCCTTTGGTGAACTTTCAGTCTGTGAGGAAATACAGCTTCTGCTCTTGGGGCATCTCCCCGGTAAGGGGTGAGCTGTGCAGTAGAACCCCCACCCCAAGAGCAGCCTGACCCTGGGGAGAGGACCCACGCTGTTGTCTCTTTCTCTTTCTCTGCCCTCCCCTCCTCTGGGAAGCCTGGACTCTCCTGCTCCTCCCACCTTCCCTTGCCTCCCCCCACCTTCCCCTGCCTCCCCCCACCTTCCCCTGCCTCCCCCCACCTTCCCCTGCCTCCCCCTGCCTCCCTTGCTACTCGCAGCTCAGCTGTCAGGGGCTGACTCAGAAAAAGCAGTTTCCTTGGACAGCTCACCGTCTTGCCCTCCTGGTCCCCCCACACTCTGATCAGGAATGAGCCCGGAACCCACTGGCTTGGCTGCCCATGGAGACCCCCATCCCGCAAGAGCTTCCTTAACTCAGGGAGAAACCGCTTAGTAATTTGAGCTGGAAAGGAGCTGCGGCCGCCCTCCAGGGCAAAAAAAGCCAAATTCTTCTCCTCCCACTCCACTTCCTCAGCCCATATGAGGTCTTTGGGGGCTGCACCAGGAAGCCAGCCTTCCCTACACCATTGTCAGACTGAACTTTAAAAGTAAAATTGACCCTGCCACTTACCAGCTCAACACCCTCCAGTGGGCAAATAAAATCTGAACTTTTCCCCATGGATTCCAAGGTGGCCTGGTTCGATCTGGCTCCGCCTGCTCTGGCCTGTCCCACCCCCGTGCCCCCGACCAAGGGTCCCTCTGCTTCTCACTACTGCACCCAGGCCTTTGCACTGCCGTGCCCTCTGCCTAGAATGCTCTTCCCCCTCCTCCCAATCATCTCGGGGCCATTTCCTCCCCATCATTCAGGTCTCCCACTAATGTCACCTCCTAGAGAGACCTTCCCTGACTGAAGTCATAATGGCTGTCAGTATTGTTTCTGTGCAGTGCGTCTCACTGTTTGATGAAATCTTCCTTTGTTTTAATTGCCTCCTGCCCTGGGAACGTTCGCCCTACGAGAGTAGGTCTTGCAGTCATCATCACGTTTTCAGCACTTAGACCCCCACCAGGCACATAGTAGGGACTCAAGAACACCTGCTGAATAAATGAGACCATCCTAGGCACCAAGCCTGTGCCCAGCTCTCCTCACCTGGGTTCCCGTAATCCTCATAGCAGCCTCAACTTACACATGGGGAAACTGAGGTCTGGGCCTGTAAAGGTGTCAAGGAAGTCAGATTTAATAGCAAGTTGGATCCCAAGTAAATGTCCCATCCAGGATCCTCCTGCAGTCTTGGGCTTCCACCCAGGATGTATTCTTTATGAAAAACGGAGAAGACCCAGAAAACTGGGAAAGAGGAAAAGCCCCCGCCCTGCTCCTGGAGTAAGCCTCAGGGTGCGGCTCTCCCTCCCCCGCCCCTTTCTTCCCCCAGCTTTGGATGTGGCTTGCTTTCTTTTCATTTTCTGTAGCACTCACATTTTTCTGTGTTTCTCGTGCCGTGTCTGTAAGTGTGAGTTTCTATGCAGGGAGGACAGTGCAGAGCTGGAGACTCCGCGTTACCTGGCTGTGCTCAGGACCTGGGCGTTGAGCTTGTTTCCAGCCTGGTGTGCCCGAGTTAGTAACATCTGAGTATTGTAGATGGAATTCAAGTGTCCATCCATTCATTCTTTGATCAAATTTTACTCTGCTGGCACTGTGCCAAGCAGGGGACTGGTACTAAAGGGCCTGAGGCACAGGCTCTGTCCTTGGAGTCCACAGTCTTATGTGGCAAGTGGCCAGGCAGAGCCACAGAATGGTGTAGGTGTTCCAGGCTGGACAGCAGGATGTGACATTCCGAAGGCAGCGGCTGCTCTGTGGGTGGGGAGGGCCTGCCTCCTGGGTGGGGGATGCCACCCTGAATCAGAGTCTTCAGCTGTTGAAGGAGGACAGCTGGGGAGTCAGGGTGGGTGCCGTGCACAAGTCATGGCGAGGGCAGAGGTGTGGCTGTGTGGTACGTCCTGAGCACTGGCTGGCCTGACATGTAGGGACTCCTCAAGGAAGGGCAGGAGTGGGGGCAGTGCCGGGGCCCCGAATGCTGAGGGAAGGAACTTGGACTTTCTCTTGCGGTGGATGGGAAGCCTAATCATTTGTATCTTCTCTTAAAAAAAGGTGTTGTTTGTTTTAAGATCAAAATTGTACATACACTTGCAAGAAAAAAAAAACCAATGCACAGAATGGTTTATCCTGAAAGGCTCTTCCCCGTCCCCATCTCAGCCCTGCTTTCTAGAAGAGAATGCTGTTCACCTGTCCTGTTTTTAATCCGCCTGGTACTTTCCTCAAGACCTGACCTTGTTCCCTCTGCTGCTTCTTGATGTATCACTTTTTGGACATTACCTGCTGTCTCCTCACTGTGAAAGATGAGGATTTGGCCCATGTTACCCCCGTTCCTTCCCTGATCATTCTGTCGGTATCCGTTGTCTCTTTAAATCATTTACATAAACCGCACCGTCTTTTGTGATTTTCGGCTCTATCTTTCCCTCCTGTAAGGTGAAGCTCTGGGAGTCACTGGACTGTACCTGGTCCTGTCGGCTCGTGAGTGAGCGTGTACATGTCTTTCCTGTCCTCACTCGGTGACATCATGCTGGTGGTTTGCAACTGGCCACGTTAGACTATTTACACTCTGGAAACTGTCAAACCCTGCAGACCAGGATTCCTGGCCAGTTGTTAAACTTTGGCCAACACAGCACAGCTGGGCTTCTAAGGTTCCCTTCCAGCCCTGAGTAGCTTGTGCTTTTGAAGAATGCGAAAATGTCTGGCCCAGGGGTGGGGGCTTGCTGGGACACTCAGCTGGCAGGCCCAGCCAGCACTGATGCCCCTCCCTTTGTGCCACAGCAAAGCTTCGAGGCCCACCAGGATGAGGCAGTGAGCGTGACGCACATGGTGAAGGCGGGCAGTGGCGTCTGGATGGCCTTCTCCTCCGGCACCTCCATCCGCCTCTTTCACACCGAGACCCTGGAGCATCTGCAAGAGATCAATATCGCCACCAGGACCACCTTCCTCCTGCCAGGTGAGGCTGCCGCGGGAAGGGTGGGAGCTGACAGTCACGGAGCACCTTCCACGGCCAGACAGTGGTGCGACCTGGTCAGCCCATCCCATTTTCCCTTGACAGACCTGAAAACTGGGGTTTTAAGGTGGGGCACTCCCCAGGAAGTGGTGGGACCAGGATTCACACCTAAGACTGTCATCTCAAAGCCCCTTCTTGTCACTGTGCCCAGCTACCACATCACAGCAGCCTGGGACACTCAGGAAGTGGCCCCCAGCCTAGGGGACCCTCCAAAATCAGGCAGCTCCTAAGGAAAGGCCACGCTGGCAGGAACCCAGGCCTTTCTGCACTGTCCCACTCCCCGGGTTGACCAAACACCCAATTCTGCCTCAGAGCCCCTGCAGGACGAGGTGAAGGGAAAGTGAGAAGGCCAACGGAGGGTCTCCGTCCTTAGAGGTTTTTCTAAGAAAGGCAAATGTCCCTCTTGGCCGCCTGGTCCATGGGTTTGGATGGCATCCACTGTGGCTGGGACCCCTCCTGCGTGGCTTTTGTAGATGAGGTGGACAGGATTGATGGTGGATGGGAATGGCGGCAAAGAATTAAGGCTGGAGCTTACCTAATGCAGTTTCCCAAGGCCCCCATGGAGTTGGCTCTCAGCCCCTCCTTACCATCTGCTGCCCAAGATGCAGAGCCATGCCCATTCTCACCCCAGCTGGCTTCAGAGCAGCCCACGGGGCCAGCAGGCATCAGCTAACCTTGCTTCCCTCCTCGGCCCAGCTTCCCCTAGAGAGACTGACCTGTGGCCAGTGTGGGAGGGCACAGTAGCTCTGTCTTGTCCCAGTGCCCCAGGCAGGGCTGGGTACAGCAGCTGGGACAGCCAAAGGGCCCTGGGGCCAGGGAAACACAGCCTGAGTGGCAGGCAGGGGCCTGGAGCTGATTGTCACAGCACCTGGCAGATGGGCCATGGCAGAGTCTGGGGGCAGCTGTGCACCCAGCGGGGTTGAGCGTCCTGTCTTATGAGGCTACCGTGGGGGCAGGTACATTTGCCAGCACTGCAGGAGCCTTGGGGACCTCTGCCTACCCCTGGGGCCTGGTCCCTCACTCCAGCTCGAGGGGCTGGAAATCACACTGGTTTCTGCTTCCCCCGGCCAGTCATGATGGTCCTTGAGTCTGAACTGGTCACCCGGGGGTGGTGGTTACTAACAGCACAGTCCACAGCAGTCACAACAGTGGAATAAGTGCCACCCTGCCCGGACCCGAGGTGATGAGGCCCCAAGTGCTTATGGCCAGGATATCATTCACCCTAACCCCACATGCTGGGGATTGTCCCCATGTTACAGATGGTGACACAGATTGGTTTCAGCAGGCCAGGCATCTCACCCTTGGTCTTGCATTGGGCCAGAGGCAGAACCACAAGTCACATCAGGATGGACTCAGTTCAGCATCCTACTGTGTGTAGTGGGGAAGGAGAGTTGGCTTGAGGCTGGGCTTGGCCACCGAGTAGTATCAGACAAGCCCCTTAATCTCCTGGAGCCCCTCATCCCTCTGTAGGATGAGATGTAGTTCCCAGCTTGGGGACTGTTGTGAGCATAAATGCTGCCAGGGCTGGGAAGGGGGAAGGTGGCTGTCCTGGGCTGGCGGGGTGGCAGGTGCCCAGTGAGACTGAACCCTTCTCTGACGTTCTCCTGGGGTGTGTGAGAGGCTTGGTGGGACCTGTGTTTGGGCCACCTCCTTCCCCCTCCCTCTCTCCCCCGTCCCTGCCCTCCTCTCTTCCTCCCCTCCTCCCTCCTTCCTCCCTTTCTTGTTTCACAGTATTTTGCCATTATACAAGTTCAATCCTTTTTAACTACGATAAAAATGTCTCTGTATCACAAAACTATCTCCACATTTCCTCTGATAGCTAAATTATTTCAAGTTAGTGGAACAATGAAGAAATGGATAATCTTATGGGATTTTTAAAAATCTTTGGAATCTCATCATATCGGTGAAGAGAAGAATGAGAGAGAGTCAAGCTGATCAGGTGGTGGGAGGCAGGATGTGTGACAGACCCTGCTGTGGTTAGAACAGCCGCTCCTGCCTGGACCACCTGACTTTACTGCCTTTCACTCTCGCGTTCATGTCCGTTGTGTTACTCACTCTTTGCAGTGACCCTTTAAGGAAGGGAGGGCATTCGTTGTTACAATGATGATTTGAGGGCCAGGTGAACTGGGGCTCAGGAGGTGAAGTGACTGGTCTGCCATCTCAGTGCTGACAAAGACAGAGCCAGGATCATCCCCCTGGGCTCTCGTACAATGAAGGGCTGAGATAGGAGTCAGCTTGGCCATGCTGGGTGGGGTACACTAGAGCCTGGAGTCAGAATTCCTCCTGGAATCGCTGACCCCCTGCCTTCCAGCTCTGACTGGGAGCACACAGAACACCTGCCTCCCACCCTCGGTCTCCACCCCGAAGGGCAGGTGTGGGTGTGGCATGAGACGGTGTGAGGACAGTGCCTACATTTCCCGTCTCAAGCCAGTGGCAGTCCGTGTTGGTGACATTTGCCATCATCGCCCTAGCCATCGTCTTTACTTCATCCCCACCATGCTTCTCCCATGAAGGCTCCTTGCCCACCCTAAGCCCTGCCAGGTCAGTGCCATCCCTCTTACGTCAGCTGCATCGGGGCAGGCAGAGGTAACCTGTCTCTTGCAGACCTACCTGAGGCTGAACCCTGGAGAGGGCTGGGTGTAGGCTGAGGTTCCAGAGTATGGGGTTTCCTGAAGGTTCCCTCCTTTCCTCAGGACTGAACTTTCCTAATCAGCAACCCTGGGGAGCCTGGAGCCCTGCCAGGCCAGGTCCTGCTGACCCCTCATATCTGAGAGTGGCTCCCTGAGCTCCCAGCTGAGCCCCAGCCAGCCCCCGCCACTGTGCTGGGGACTAGAGTGTGGGGGCAGCTTCAGGCCCACCCCACGTTGTGTCTTCGCAGAAGCACAGCACAGCAGGGTTCTTAAATTCTTTATTAGAGATATTTTAAAAAGGCTTTTAAGTATTTTTTTATTCCCCCACACCACCAAATGAAATAATTGCATAATTAGTAATAAATTTGTTCCTCCACTAAGGGTGGATTTTTTTTAGGGTGTGTTAAAAATTTATCACACTTCCTTCCCCTGACCCCTTTCTTCCACTTGAATACCCGACTGGTATTAATGCATTTTTTAACCTAAACTCCCTCCTCCTTTTAACTAGACAGGTCATTAATAAAATGTTCTCCGAGAGCCTAAGCTTTTAAAAGTTGTATATCTCCAGATAGATGGCTTGGGTGAGTTGAACACTGCTGCATTAAGTCTCTGTGATAAAATATTTATTCACCATTAGAAATTTTTTTCTTTTGGACTGTTTGTGAAGTGTCTTGCTCTTTTCCTTGAGGCAGAGGGGGAGGAGGAAAGGCCCCAGAATGAGGTCTGCAGATGAAGTCATTTCTCAATTCCGGCATCTCTTTCGGTTTCCTGCTTGCCTTCCTCTCATTTGTCAGTTTCCCTGTCCAGCGGGGGCCGGGAGGATGCAGGGGCTTCAGGAAATGGTCTCCTGCCCATCTCCATGCCCTGGGGGGCTTGGAGAGGGATGTGATGAGGCATGTGGAGTGAAAAATTCACCACCCTCCCCTCTCTTGGCTTTATTGTTCTTGCGGGTTTATGGCTCTGATGGAGCTGATCTTAAGACATTAGTGTCTAGATCCTTTTAATAATCATAAACATTATCCTAATAGCCTCTATTTATTGATTGTGTACTATGGGCTAAGAGCTGTGCTCAATTGTGTGTCGATATTATGTGTACATATATGTGTATATATTTAATATTTCTAATAATTATAAAATTGAGCAAGGTAGGTTTGTAGTACTCATTGATGGATGAGAGAAGTGATTTGTCCAAGTTTTCTCCTTTCCTTCATCCATCCATCCATCTATCCCTCCATAAATCTGTCCATCCATCTGTCCATCCATCTGCCCATCCATCTGTCTGTCCATCCATTTATTTACTCATACACTCACAGGTACTTCTCGAGGGTCTACCATGAGCCAAGGTACTTGGCCAGGAGTTGGAGAGTCAACCGTGAATACACAGATAAGCCACTGCCCTCCCAAAGCTTGCAATAAATAAACCAATAGCAAAATAAGGTCATCACAGATCTTTACCAGGTGTTGAGGAAAGCAGCTCTCGGCCTGACGTCCCATGTTGGTCGGTTCAGGAGGGCTGGGGGCCTGGCCCTGGACTGGAAGCTTGCCATCACAGTAATGAGCCTTCACTTTTGGAATGGATGTAAGTGTGGGACATAGTCCCAGCTCCACAGACACCCAGATACTCTGTGAAATAGCCCCCGTGGTCTAGCCTGTAAGTCACTAGCGGGCTTTTTCTTCAGCGTGGTTTGCGTTTCCATATTGAATGGACACTGCGAATGTGATTTGTTTGAGTTTGCATCATGTTGCCAGCCTCGAATCCCACTGCCTGTCCGTAGCTCCACTTGGGTGTCTCATACGTGTCTCAGACCACACATCCAGCCAGGAGCTCTGGGCTTCAACACCCAAACCTGCTCCTTTGCTATCCCAGGCCATGGCTCTTTGAGCCTTCACATCCACGGCTAAAATGGGGCCAGCATTTGCGTCTTGCAGATGTCTTGGCTGTCGCAAGGCTTGTGTCAGATCAGAGCAGGTATACAAGTGCTTTGGAAATTCCAAAGCTGTATTTTTTCAAGTGTGATCCATGGAACAGAAGCGTCAGAAAGTGGGAACTTTCTAGAATGCAGCCTAAGCCTCTCCCAGAGGGCAGCAAGATTAGGGTGAGAAGGAGACAGCCCTGTGGAAAGGCACGTGCCCAATGAAGCCCAAGGGGGTGTGGCAAAGCCATCTGCCCTGTGTGTGATGTGGTGGGGGGGGTCTGTCCCTGAGCTGGCAACCTGTACCCCACGCCCCTCAGCCCCTCCGAGGCGGGCCTCCTGCCCCTGCTCTCCCTTCTCTCCCTCTTGCCCATTCCCATTGCCCAGAATCATTGGCAACAGCACAGCAGCAGTGATGACAGCAGGTAGTACCCATTGTACCATGTGTGGGCACAGGGTTGTTTTACATTCATTTAACCCAATGGAGAGTATCTGTGTATCTAAACATTGAAAAGGAACAGTGAAAACACGGCATTATGGTCGTATAGGACTGCCATTGTATACATGGTCTGTTGTTGATTGAAAGGTCCTTATATGACACATGACTGTATCATCCTTGTTCCCTTTTACAAGTGAGGACACCGTGGCCCAGAGGAGTTTAGGATGGGCCCTGGGTCATGTAGCTGGAGAGTGGCAGAGCCAAGGTGTGAGCCCCGTGCCTGGCTCCAGAGCCCTGTTCTCGGCCACTGTGCCGGGCAGCCCACAGCCGGCATCCTCTTTGTCAGGAACAGGGGAGCCCCGCCACCACGCCCTCCCTGACATTGCCATTCTTGCTAAAATGAAGAGACAGCACTGAGGGGAGAGCTAAAAACAACGCATCTGGACTGGCATCAGAAACAGGCTGCTTCCCCGCAGAGAGTTTTCTGCTTCCCTCTCGGGCCCGGGGCCTGCAGGGTGTGCTGTGAGCTCATCCGAAGAAGCGCCCATGTGGGCAGGCCCTGAGGGGCTGCAGCAGATTCACCTTGATGCCTCGCAAGCCCCAAATGGCCCTTCTCATGCCTCCCGTCTGCACCAACACCGATGGGAAGCTTGCACCTTCCCAGTCTTCCCTGGGTTTGCCCACAGCTGGCCGGCTGGATCCTTGCATGGGTCACCCTTGGACAACCCTTTGTGCCAGATGACCTGGCCGCTGTGTATTGAGAGTGGACACAGACCAGGCACTTTGCCCATGGTGTTCCCCCAGTGCATCCGCATGGCAGGCCTACTTTACACAGGAGGAAACTGAGGCTGGTTAGAGGGAGCACTCAGCTGGGGGACCTCATGGCCAGACCCCAGGCAGGTCAGCCCCCAAAACCGCAGCTCTTACCCACCCCACCATTCCAGCTTCTTGCTGGTTTCAGTGGAGGGGCCCACTGTGCCATGCCCTCACCTCGTGCTGGTGCCCAGAGCCCATGCTGTCTCCTCAGGAAGGCACTGCTCAGCCGGCCTCTCTTTCTGCAGGCCAGAAGAACTTGTGTGTCACCAGCCTCCTGATCTGCCAGGGTCTGCTCTGGGTGGGCACTGACCAGGGTGTCATCGTCCTGCTGCCCGTGCCTCGGCTGGAAGGCATCCCCAAGATCACAGGTGAGGCGCTGGGAGCTGGCGTTGGCAGAGCCTGGGGGTCAGCTGCAGGTGGCTGGTGGGGCTCGGTGGGGAGGGTGTGTTATGCTCTCATCGGTGTGAGGATGGGGTTCCATTGTCCAGCTTCCTGTCATCTCAGGTGGCATGGTGGCCAGTGGAACAGAATCATCCCAGCCCCACAGTCTCCCCCCTTCTTTCTGAGTCTCAGTTTCCTAATCTGGCAGATGGACACAAGAGTAGCTTGAGGATTGGCTGAGGCACCCGCCTAATGGCAGGGGCTCCACTGGCCCATTCTGCTCCTTCCTATAGCAGTTTCAAAATATCCAGGCTCCAGAGGGAGAAATAACTGAGTGCCTCTGGGGCCAGGCCTGGCCGCCTCAGGGGTCCATGTGCAAATACATGTGTTTGCATAGATCAGATGAAGGAAGAGCTGCAGGATCAGATAGATCTGCTCCTGGGGCTGGGGACACAGAGGCTGGGGCCAGCAGCTCCCCAGGCATGAATTCAGGAGGGATTCGCAGTGAGGAGCTCGAGCCAGACCTTGAAGGAAGAGTTACAGAATCAGGTAGACGGAAACGGCTTTTCAGGGAAAGGCAGTGGGTTGGGCAAAGCTCTGACCTGCGCCATGGGGCACAGGAGAACAAGGCAGGATCAGAGAAGACCCCTGATACTTGGATGCCTGGAGCCCCAGGACCCCCTCTTTCTCTGCCCTGAGAATCATGACTGTGGTCCCTCCCAGCAAGGAAGCAGGGCCGACAGGAAGCCCTGGAGGTGGGCTGGCCCCCTACTCAGACCTCAAGTCCTTCTGCTAAAGAAGAGCTGTTTTGGCTGGGCACGGTGGCTCATGCCTATAATCCCAGCACTGTGGGAGGCCGAGGTGGGTGAATCACCTGAGCTCAGAAGTTCTGGACCAGCCTGGGCAACACAGTGAAACCCGGTCTCTACTAAAAAAATACGCCGGGTACGGTGGCTCACGCCTGTAATCCCAGCACTTTGGGAGGCTGAGGCAGGTGGATCACGAGGTCAAGAGATCAAGACCATCCTAGTCAACATGGTGAAACCCCGTCTCTACTAAAAATACAAAAAATTGGCTGGGCATGGTGGCACGTGCCTGTAATCCCAGCGACTCAGGAGGCTGGGGCAGGAGAATTGCCTGAACCCGGGAGGCGGAGGTTGTGGTGAGCCGAGATCGCGCCATTGCACTCCAGCCTGGGTAACAAGAGTGAAACTCCGTCTCAAAAAAAAAAAAAAAAATACACACACACACACACACACACACACAAAGTTAGCTTGGTGTGGCAGTGTGTGCCTGTAATCCCAGTTACTTGGGAGGCTGAGGCAGGAGAATTGCTTCAACCTGGGAAGCAGAGGTTGCGGTGAGCTGAGGTTGCACCATTGCACTCCAGCCTGGGTGACAGAGTGAGGAGACTCGGCCTCAAGAAAAAAAAAAAGAAGAGTTCTTCCTAAATTCTGAGATTTTCTGTTTTCAAGATTTCATCAAATAGGGCATTTTTGTCCATCCAGGGGACATTTGTGGAGGACCTATTTCCAGGTAGAATCCCGGGATGTGGGGATGAATCGTGCAGAGACCCTGCTCTCCATGAGCTGACGGTCTCCTGGGGGTCATCATAGCCCTGGTGGCAGGTGCTGGGATGGGTGTGTTCTGGGGGCTGGGGACACAGAGACTGGGGCGAGCAGCTCCCCATGGCTGTGATGGAGGGATTCACACTGAGGAGCTTGAGCCAGGCCTGGAAAGAAGAGTTGCAGAATCAGGTAGAGGGGAAAGGCTTTCTAGGTAGGGACAGCAGCTTGGGTAAAGGCTCAGACATGAGGAAATTCTTGGAATTTCACACTGAGGCTCCCCTGTGTGGTGTATAAGGCTGCCCCTGTTCCACTCCCCAAGGAAGCTGTGCCGGAGTACGGGATAGCCAGACCTGTGGGCATCTGGGGGGGGAGTGCCAACATAGACGGAAGTGACCCCCCTAAAATACCCACCCAGAAAGTTCTCCAGGAGAGAGACTCGGGCGCCTCCCTTAATACACTGGGCCTTTGGGCACCCTTCTGCCCCGCCCCATTTTCCGCAGGGAAAGGCATGGTCTCACTCAACGGGCACTGTGGGCCTGTGGCCTTCCTGGCTGTGGCTACCAGCATCCTGGCCCCCGACATCCTGCGGAGCGACCAGGAGGAGACTGAGGGGCCTCCAGCCGAGGAGGACAAGCCAGACGGTCAGGTGCACGAGCCCATGCCTGACAGCCACATGGGCCGAGAGCTGACCCGCAAGAAAGGCATCCTCCTGCAGTACCGCCTGCGCTCCACCGCGCATCTGCCCGGCCCGCTGCTCTCCATGCGGGAGCCAGGGCCCGCCGATGGTGCAGCCCTGGAACACAGTGAGGAGGACGGCTCCATCTACGAGATGGCTGATGACCCTGACGTCTGGGTGCGTAGCCGGCCCTGTGCCCGTGACGCCCACCGCAAGGAGATTTGCTCCATGGCCATCATCTCCGGCGGGCAGGGCTACCGCAACTTTGGCAGCGTGCTGGGCAGCAGTGGGAGGCCGGCCCCGTGTGGGGAGACGGACAGCACCCTCCTCATCTGGCAGGTGCCCTTGATGCTATAGCCCCTCCACTCTCGAGCAGAGGGCACAGCTGCAGGCCTGACTGAGGCCATGCCCCGCTCTCATGCTGTAGGGCCCTGCGCGGGACCTGCGACGGGCCTGGATTCTCCAGAAACTACTTGGGCAGAGCAAAGGAAAACCTCTTCTTTTTAAGAAAAAAATTTTTCAGAGTGTTTTGGGGAGGAGTTTTAGGGTTTGGGTAGTGGGAGGACACGTCTGGAGGAAATGGCCTTCTTTTTAAAAGCAAAAAACACAAAACCTCACAACTGCCTGGCAAGCCCAGCACTGCTTGTTCAGGCCCTAGCGGGTCTCCAAGGCAGCCACGCGCCCCTCCTGGAAGGGTGTGTGCATGTGAGTGTGTGCGAGTGTGTGGGCTGGTGTGTGAATATCTATAAATACGTATATATGCTGTATATTATATGTGTATAAATAAAATCTGTACATATTGGAGCTCTGGGAGATGCTGGAATAAAAGACAAGAGTTACATCCGAACTTGGATTCAGATTTTGTTGTGGTTTTTTAAAGACATGATAGGAAAGAGACAGGGAGAGCAGCTATTGGTAGAGAGGGGTTATTCGGGACCCAGGAGCCAGTCAGGCTTGGCGGGAGGGTGGTTGGCTCTAGAAGCTCACGGTCCAATCGGGTCCCCATTAGCCACAGGTGGGTAATTAATTTTCATATGAATGAAAATGAAATATTCAATCTCTCAGTCACCGTAGCCCCATTTCAGATGTGGCTTGAGTGGTGGGTGGTGAAGGATGAGATGGCACAGATATGACCATTTCCAACGCAGAAGAAAGCTTGCTTCTGCTCCAGGAGGGGCTTTGGGAGCTTCCTTTCTGAATATTTTTTTGGAAAAAAGACTGGGTCGCCCCAGCTCTGGAATAGCATGGGGGCAGAAGGCTTTGGTGTCTAACAGTGCCAGCCAGCAGGGAGGGGAAGATGAGAGGCCTTTCAGCGGGCAGGCAGCCATGTCCCAGGACTTGGAGTCAGAGGGAGGACCAGGCGGGTTTCAGGGGAGGTCCGTCCGCAGCAGGAGCAGAGCCCGGCTGCAGGTGGGATGGGCAGATGGGGCTGCTTCTGGCCCTAGCTCCTCTTTTCTGGCTCAGTTCATCCTTAGATTGCTAGAGCTGCCTGCAGAGAAGAAAATCAAAACCAAAAGCCACCACCCAAAAGGGCAGTGTTTCCTCCGTTTTCCCACCCTCTGCTTCTCTGTTCTGTCTCCCTACCACCCGCCGGCACTTGCATTGAGATCTTACCACTGAAGTTCTAGGAACCCAGTGGAAAAGCCACCAAGGAGCGACATTCCAGCCGGCTTCTCACCTCCTCGTAGGTTCTCACTGACTAGAGAAGTCATTCATTCACTCATTTTGCAAATTCTTGTGTTCCTGCTATTTGCCAGGCTCTGCGCTACGTGGACAAGACCGCAGCCGTCCACGCCCCAGGAAGTGCATGAGGTAGTGGGGAGGGCAGGCGTAAATACCAGCAAGTGAGGGCTTGGGGAGATCGAGGGTGATGTGGAGGAGGAAGGGGAGAGAGGAGGAAGGGCCTGTGCTCAGGCGGAGGGTAGATTGAGGTTGGCTATTCCCAGAAGTCAGGTGGCCAGTGTGGGTCCCCAGGAAGGGAAGAAAGGAAGCTGTGTCCAGAGGAAGCAGTACACCTGAAGGTCTGGCTCCCACACTGACTACCGCCAGACATGTCCAACTCCTCTGGGCCTCAGGATCCCAGTTTGTATCAAAAGAACCACCACTGCCCTGTCCATCTCACTTGGAAGAGAATAAAGTGCTCTGGTTCCATTTTTTTATTGCACAAGTGGGTTACTGAACACCCTGTCTTGATGGGATTTCCAGGGGGTATATTTATCCCATCAATCAAATATCAACCATGACTTTTCCTGAGACAGAGGCCAGTGAGTCAAGGCTGCCCCGGGACGAGGAGCAAGCCTGGACTCTAGGGCCCGGCAGGCTGGGTTCAAGTCCGACCCCACCAAAATGCTGCTGTGTGACTCCCAGCACGTCCCTCGTTTCCTTATCTCTAGGACGGAGGGGATGGTGAGTAGCAGAGTTTGTGGTACAGAGACCACAGAAAGCATCTGGACCAGCCCTCCAATGGCATTTTTGATGATGGTTCCTTATATCCTCGCTCCAAACAATTTGAGGCGGCGGTTCTTACTGAGGAGTCTCCTCTTTTGCACTGGAGCTGGCGTCTGGGATCTCCGTGGGCTCATTAGATCCTAGACCTACAGATCGCTCAGCTAAAAGACATGGGAGATGGAACGGGGCCCGTTAAATCCCGTCACTGAGAAAACGACTGACTTTGCTACTTCAGTGAAATTATCACATCAGTCACCAGCTCATCTCCCGTGTCTCCGACAACAGAGCGAGGGGAGGGTTGGGGGCGCTGCGAACAGCTCCCGAGACCCACTGAGGACGTGCCTCGCATGTGAATGGAGGCCTGGCCTTAGATATTGATAAGAGTAATAATACCCAGGGAGTTCTGGGTGCCTGAGCGAGCTCCTCGCGTCATTACACCTGCTCTCTGAGGCTGCTTTTGTTTGCCTTGTTTTGTAGGTGAGGGGTCTGCGGCTTGGGGAATTTAAGCAGCCTGCCTAGGAAGCCTCACAGCCTAAAAGTCAGATCCCGGATTGTAGTCCATCTGCCACCAAGACAGCTCTTAGCCACCGGACTGCTCGCCCCTCCGAGGAAAACTTGGGAGACAAACAGCAGAGTTGCAACTGTGGTCTTCCCATCTAGCAGCTGGGGGACGTCGGGCAAGTGCCTTAATCTCTGTGTCCCAGGGGGTCCCTGCCATGGGAACAGACCAGCATTCATTCAGTATTCACTGAATGCCAATTACATGCCCAGATCCATTTTCAAGTAGACACTGGGTAGGGTGTGGTGAAAAAGACAAATTCTACACACACCCTGCTCTCCATTCTACTGGTGGAAGTGGGAGGGAACAGACCGGGAGAAAAATGTCTGATGGTGTTTGTGTTCTGGAGAGACGTAACAGAGAAGGGGGATGGGAGGTGCCATCTCACGATGGCAAAGAGGTGGTCAGGAGGCCTCACTGAGGAGGTGATATCCAAGCAAGGCCCTGAAGGCAAGGCAGACATCGGGTGGGAGAACATTGCGGGCTGAGGGCAAGTGTAAGTGCAGAGTGGGGAGGCAGGAGTGTGGCTGGGGCAGGGGCGGGCTGGGAGGGGAGGCAGTGGGCAGTTGGAAGTCCCTGGAGGGTTTTCAGCAGAAGAGTGACACCATCTGTCTGATGTTTTCAAACAATTACGTTTGGCTGCTAAATGAAGAATAATCCATGAAGGTGGGGACAGCAGTGTGGGAGCCAGGAGACCCCCTGTTGAGAGCTGTTGCAGTCAGCCAGGCTTGAGGGGTGGGGGGCAGCAAAGGAGAGCAGCCAGCTTCTGGGTGGATTCTGATGTCCCAGAGCCCACCGGGTTTGCAGCTAGATGGGCTGAGAGGAGTCAGGCGTCCCCCGGAGGTCTGACCTGGCGACTGGAAGGTCAGAGCTGCTAGCTTCCCTGGCAGGATGGCTGTGAGGGCAGCTTTTCTGCAGGAAAGTCGGGAATGGGCTTTGGACCGGCTACATTTAAGTTACCTTTGAGCGTCCGAGCGGAGATGTAGGGAGGACAGTCGACTGCGTGGATGTGGAGTCAGCAGAGAGGTCCAGGCCAGGGGTGCCGGAGCCTGGAGGCAGCCTCCGAGGGAGCGGAGTGGATGGAGGAGATGTGAGGACAGAGTCCAGGGAAGGCTGGTGTGGGGAGGCCCAGGAGCTGATCAGGAAGCACAGGGGAGGCTGAGATGCCTGGATGAAGGGAGAAGACCAGGAGGGCATGGCGAGGGTTGGAAGGGGAGGTATGATCTGTGCTGAATGCTGCTGAGGCTAAGGAGAGCCCGAGGCCCACCTCGGATTTAGCCACACAGAGGCCCTCTGTGCCCTGATGAATGTGGGCAGAGTGGTGGCGGGGAGGCCTGAGGATGCAGAGGGAGGGTCTGGGAGAGGAGCCTGTGAGCAGTGCGGTCCTGGGGTTCTCCAGCCCCAGTGATCGGGCGGAGGGAGGGAGGGGCCGTGACAGATGCCCCAGCCATGCAGGCCACAGCTCAGAGCGCCCAGAGTTGATCAGTTCACGGGCCTTCATCCCATTGCCCTTATCCAAGGGGGAAAACCACTTTCTCCTCCCCGGTGGGCAGGCCGAGGCTGCAGACAAGCCCAGTTATCAGGAGGCAGCTGTGAGCCAGAACAGTCTCCCAGCAGGAATCCTGCGCAGTGGCTGACTGAGACTCTCAGGCTGGTGACAGGTTGCCCCAACCCCACCCCAGGGGAACCCAGCCTGCCATGCTGGGTGTCTGCCAAAGGCCTCTGTTCCTGTCTCTGTGCTCAGGCCTGGGGAGGCCAAGGCCTGACACCCCATCCTTCAGAGGTGGGGATTGTTCCCTGGGCACCTCTGGCTCCAAGCCATGGACTCCGAAGGTGGGAGGGGGCAGAGGCCGTCCTCAGCCAGCCTCCGAGCAGTGCCCAGGCTTGGAGTTTGACTGCCTGTGTATGGGGAGACCTGCAGTCCTGGCGGGGGCACAGAAATGGCCCTCTCATTGTGTTCCAATAACTGACCTTATTGTAGTTTGGAGACCCATAGCAGAAAACTCTATTTTTTTTTCTTTTGAGATGGAGTCATCTCATCTCACTGCAACCTCTGCCTCCTGGGTTCAAGCAATTCTCTTGCCTCAGCCTCCAGAGTAGCTGAGATTACAGGTGCCCACCACCACGCCCAGCTAATTTTGTGTTTTTAGTGGGACCAGGTTTTACCGTGTTGGCCAGGCTGGTCTTGAACTCCTGACCTCAGGTGAGCCACTGCCTTGGCCTCCCAAAGTGCTGGGATTACAGGTGTGAGCCACTGTGCCCAGCCTCTAATTCTTAGTTCAAGGTGACATAGTCATTTCTGGGGCTTAAGCCGCTTCTTGGGGCCAACAGTCTGTTTGGGGGGAATTGACAGTCTTTCAGGACCATCTCCTTCCCCTTCCTTCCCTTTTGTCCTCTGCCTGGCATCTGAGCCCTGGGGATGCTTATAGGATGCAGTGGTGGTGACCAGAGTCCAGGTGTCTGAACAGTGGCAGAGGGGTTGGGGTGTCTCTACCCTCTGTTCTGGCCTCTTTTGGTCTCCATGCCCCAAAGCCCCATGCCTGGTTGTCTGTCTCTTCCTTGGTGTCAGGCTGGAATCATTGGTGCTCCCTATCTCTGTTCTTGGGCACCTCACCTTCTGTGTCCCCCAGCCCTATCTCAGGTTTCCTTTAGCCCTTCCATACCCCCACCAGCCTCCACCCCCAGGACACTCACAGACCTGTGTACCTCAGACCCCCTCCTCTGCCCTAGGGGGCACGTCGGGGATCAGACCCCTGCCCACAAGCTCTCGCGCTCCTTTCAGCCTTTCTGATGGACTCCTAGAGGCCGGGTTCCGCCAGTCCATCCTGTTGCTGACTTGCTGCTTA